AGAGGCTGATAAATGTCTTTGATTATGTTAGAACTAAAAGTTCCAATATAGCTGACAAGGCTACTTCATCTTTATTTGGAGTATTCAGCAGCCCATGAAAAGAACAACTTAGAAGAGCTGGTTGACTTCATACATTTCAAAGTCAATGAAAGTCCTAATGCAAGTAGAATAGGCCTCTGTAGCTAAGGCAAGCCATTTACACTAATCTGCACATTTAAGTGGCACTTTGTGTCATTCAGTAAGGTACTAATGGAACCTAGGAGTATAAGTTGATGGCCCTGACTTTCAACATGGCAGAGCCATAGTGTAAATGGTGTATGTCTTGCCTACAATGTGAAACATTTATATTTTTACCACCGCCCTTTTCATTCTAAGAAAATTCCTCATAATGAAAGTGCATGTCCTGAGACAGAGTCACTTTCCTTGGGTTTGCTCTTTTTGGTGGCGACTTTCTAAGAATAATGTGCAACCATTTTTGTAGAACTGAAATAGAGAGCAAAGGACATTTCAAACCTCAACATTTAGAATTCTATTCTAGAGGTACAGTTTGTTGTAATGAGGATTTATTTGTTAATGGCTGGCTTAATTAAATCTTCAAAGGAGGCCCAGAGTGCTACTATACAAATTGATAATTTTAATATTTCTACTTGAAACATTTATTCATTAATTTCCAAGAATACCAAAATTTAGGGCATAAACATATGGAATCTAAACCAGAAAAACCAAAGCCACTAGCCATTGGGTTGAGTCTGACACATAAGGATACTATATAGGGTGTCCAAGAGTATAAAACTTTATGAGAGAAGGCACCATACAGAAGATTATAGGCAATTATGGTGAAATTATGATCAAATTGTGTCTTTAAGTAATATCTAACCATCTTTTGTCATCATTTCTTTGTTTTCCTATTGGCATATAAAAAAGCCATATCAAAATTCTGTTATAATATGACATAAACTCCAACAGAAATGACCCTTGTACAGACTGACTGCATCTTAGAAGTGTTGTATTCCTGGTGTACCCCACTCAGAGTTAACTAATCCCATGTGTACTTCTTACAAATGATCATTTCTTTAACTTGTGACTACATAAAGACAACAGAAACACTGCAGTATGACTAAGCTCATACACTGGAATAGAGCTCTACACATATAACCATTCATCCCTAATGTGAGTTTATAGATATATATCTACAACTGGGCTAGTCTGAGTTGACTAGGGAAACAAATTCATAGATACTTATATGTGTGTATGAGAGAACTGTATATCAAAGAGTAATTGTACATTAAGAGAACATCCCAGCCCAGTCCAGATCAAGTCCATAAGTCCGATATTAGCTCATATATCTGATACCAAGCTATAAAGTCCTCTTCAGACTCAGGAAACATATGCAATGATGCTGAATGCAGGAAGATCGCAGGCCAGTGGGTGGAAAGTCTTGTGGATCCAGTGATGGTGGAAGCTAATCATCTCAGTGCTGGTGGGGGTCTCCATGTGGCCCCTCCAGCTATGGGGATCTAGCATAGCTCCTTGTGTCTTGTCAACAGGAATGTCTCGCAGGGATGGTAGCAGAGAGTATCTGTACTGCCTCCAGGGAGCTATTTATCTCCATTGTGCCTCCAAATGAGGTCATGAAGCTGCAACCTGATTGACAGGATAAACTCCACCCCTTTGCAAGTTGACAAGAGATTATGTAACTGCTGCAACAACAGACACACTTTCCATAAATTTTGGAATCCAATATATACTTCCTGTCCTTTCTCATTAATCTATTGATGATATCACAAACAGCATAGCCACGTCAGACATGTGTATTTTGACAAGTCCTCTTAGCTTTCCTTACTTCCTAAATTTCTTCTGAGCCTTTTGTTAGCATGTTCTAATCTAATGTATTAATTAGTAAACTATTATTCTGACTTACGCCTTTTCCTGATCTTAAATATTTTATTACGGTGTGTTTTCCCCAAATTCTAGTTGCTAGTTCTTCATTTATTAAGAATTATTGTTAACTTTTGTACTAAGCATTTTTTCTACATTTTTTAAAAATTTGAATTTATGTTCCATAGTTCAATCACACCTAGCAGTATTATACAATTGCTACCACAATCAGTTTCTAAACATTCTTTTTCTTCCTTGACATCAGCTCCTTTGTGGGGAACAGAAGGATTTCTCTTAAGTTGTCTCCCCAAAATATATGCCAGATTTAGCTTGAGAATGACTGTTCACTAGGCGGTCAGCGAAAGTAGGTCAGAGGTTATTCTCCCTAACATCAGCCATCTAGACTGAATAGTCTCACTCACCCTAAGTAGGGCCCACTCCCTTCTGATAAGGATAGTAGTTGTCAGTTTACTTGTAGGAGATACCAGAGAGGTCAAACCCGCCCAAGGATGACCAAGGGTAGGTAGCCATTATGAATCTAGGGTCTGCCCATCTTGTCACATGTGTAACCCTAGACCTTCCCATTCCTATGGGCACACCCCTAGGTCATCCCCCTCCTGTTGATTGTATTGCCTATGTTGCTACCCCTCCCTATCTGCTATCAGGGGGCTTGCATGCCTCCCAGAATAGTAATTGTCTGTTTTATTGTATGAAACACCAGAATGATCAAACTTGTTCAAGAATGAATTGTATTGCCCCTTTCTGTGATGTATGACTCTGTAATCAAATCCCCCTAAAGTGATATGATGCATGGTTAGCAATAAATAATGAGGCTCCCTGGTTCTCGGGAGGATGGCTGAAAAAGGTGGCTGAGGAGGACGAGGCAGCTGCTTCTACTCTGACGGCTAAGTCTCCACGAGGACCAACAAGCGGGGCTGAGGGGAGCAATGCTACCATGAATTGCGTCTGACTCCATTACTCGACTCCATCTTTTAACTGTCATGCTCTCTATGACTTTACTATAATCTGTACTTATTATTGCTGCACAATTGCGCCTACCGAACCTGTGATGTTTTGTAGGGTACCCTCTTCCCTTTAACCCCACACTCTTTTTTACTCCACCCCTACACCCACTCTACCTCACTCCCCAAAACAAAACAAAATTTTATTCTACTTGTTATCCCTACAGGTTCATCCATCCTGGGTTTCATATACCAAAAGCCAGAAAAACATATAGCACAAATTCAAGACAGAACACATATAGCATGTAACATATAACACGTGTTTTATATAACACATATATAACACATGCAACACATAACACAAATTCAATGACATAACACATCTGAGAGAATACCCACCATGATCACACAAAGAAACAAAAACAAAAAAATACAGGAGATGTTGAAAACCAGATCAGGTCCAACATGCATCCAAGGATCCGGGATGGCTACATTTATTTTTCACTCATGGTGGTGGTTAAGAGTGAGCTTTGGACTTATCTACTGTACAGCACCAGGAGGTCCTGAATCACACCTTCAAGACTCCCTAAGGCAATATCAAGACTCCCTAAGGCAATATCAAGTGGGCTATATTTGCCCATTAGTGAGATGCCTATGCATTTTACATGTTGCCTAAGTTCTTCCATTTTACCTCTGAGGAAAACCACTGGTTGCTCTGAGGAGGGTGTTCCTCAGATGCTAGGTCTTCTTGGCTGAAAGATGCTCCCTGGAGGTCGGTTTGGTTCCAGGTTTGAAGGATGCTAAGAACTATAATTCCAGAGGTTTCACCAGTCTTTATAAAACCAGGAAGTCTGGTCCTTTTCTTATTATATTCAGTTTTGTTCTACAGTTTTGTCCCAATCTGTTCAATGCCTTCTGTAATGGTTCTGATCAGAGTAGTTGATTGTTGGCACTCATGAGGTCATTTTTATAGAAGATTCAGTCTGAAAAATGAAATTAAATTTGAGCTTCTGCATATAGCCCATGTGAGGAAAAACGAAATGGAAACCTATATTCACAGGAAGTGGAAAGATAATGTGTTTTTTAAGTGCAGATGAGTTAACTTGAAGTTCGACAGGATTGTATTTCCATGGGATTCCTATTAAGGATGCAATACATTTGCATAAGTATTAAAATAATTCATCATGATTAATTCAACTATAGGAAATCTCAGCCCTAATCACAATCTGCCAGATACTATGGTGGTTTATCAGTAGTTCACATTTCCCTGAAGTTTCAGTAGAATTGCAGCTCCTGTAAGAGCACAAGGCCACGAGTTCACTTTGATTAATGTGGCTCTCACAGAGATCTAATAATGAGTAGCCAATTTCATTAGTAAATAAGATCCATGTGTGGAAAACATTAAAAGTCTTATCAGTGTATTATAATGTTTTATAATGAATTATAAATTCTTATCAATGTATCACTAGGTTGCTACCTAGTAAGCAACCCTGGTAGCAAACAGATGTCTAGAAAGTTGAGGAGGCTTCTCCTTGAAAAGAGACAACCTGCTGACACAAAGACAAAGTTGGGAAAAGGAGAAACAATTTGCCTTCAAATACCTACAAGGTTAGAGTAACACAGGGCAAACTTAGGACCAATGGTTGAAAGTTATAGGTAAGTATATAACTTTATGATATATCAGAATGTCATAAAATCAGGACTCACTATAAACACACTGGAATGTATGGATCTAATGGACACAATGAGTCAAAGCACTTCCTTTTATTGGATTTTATTCAGATGTAGGCAAAATGACCACCTACTGAGACTACTGAAAAGTAAAATTTTCTCATGTCTTGCAGGAGGCTTCATTTAGTGAACTTCTATGTTCTTTTCCATTACAAGTCACTGTCATCGATTCAGTTCCAACTCATAGGGAACTTTTACGGGGCAGACACATTAACTTGCCCTGCTGGTTGCTGAGACTGCAAATCTTTGGGGGAGTGAAAGCCTCATTTTGCCTCCCTTGTAATCAGCTAGTGGTTTCAAACTACTGATGGACGAGGTTAGCTAGTCCACTGGGAGCCCACTGTGCCAACACAACTGCTTTTCAGGAAAGAGGCTTTGTAAATGTATTTCCTTAAAAGAATGTCAACAATGGTCTTTATTTCTTTAAAGATTTTGGTGGAGGCTTCTGTGGGAGATGGCTTCACTGGAGACATTGCAATTGATGATTTGACATTTATGGACTGTACCCTTTATTCTGGTAAGAGAGAATATTTATATACATTCAATCATGCATTTGCAAATCTGTTTACTTCGCGAAAATGCCCAAGGATACTATTCTCAGATCTACTAATCCTTAAAAAGATTGCTGTAAATCTGTGCTGATAATTAGGCTTAACATATTTGCAAACACAGTGAACCGGCAGAAACAGTTATATCTGTGTCTCTTCTCCTACAGAATATTAGGAAATCATGCATGAAGTTAAACTTCCCATTGTATTTCAAGGGCTATAATAAGCCTGACAAGCACATTAGTTGGAATTTTAGTACTAACTGCTCAGTTATCTTCAGTAATATTTTATTCTTGGGCTATCCTTTCATTAGTCTTATGGATTGCTGTAACCATTTCCTCTTCCAGTTACATAATTCTACCTATTAAAAATGAATCCATATTTTACTGATTTATAGCAAGGGAAAAATGATGTGAACACAGACATATTCGATTTGAATTAGTATGATGAAGAAACTTATCCCGGACAGAGCAGTCTTTGCGCTCCATGGTTGCAATAGCACATAAGCTTTCTCAAAGGACTGGTCTTTCGATCAATCTTTTAAGCAAGACTATTTTGCAGAACCAATCATACCTTGAGATGTCTTAGATTTACCAATAAAACCCAGAGAGTAAAGATCAATCAGAGCAGTGAGTGACTTCTGATGACATAAGTCAGACGGGGACAGCTCAGAAGTTACGGCAACGGCTTTTTGAGGACTGTGAAAAGAAAGATCTTCTGGAAGGACACAGCACTTCCATGAGAGTTTTTTGACGTGGACATTTTCAGGATATTGAATTGGTGGCACTACTGTCTAGGATTGCCTTCTCCATCAGGACAGTGCACCTACTATTTCTTCAAGAGTAGCACATTCTGAGAATGTCACTGGGAAACCTTACCCCCACCGGTAGCCCTTATTCTGCCCCTTCAGATGTCTTTTTGATTCTCCAAAACAAAGACGATTTTAAAGGAACGTGATTTGACTCCCTTAAAGATGGCAGCACTGCTGTTGTGATGTGGTGCAATCCAAGAGCACAGAAGAAGGGTAAAGTGTATAGACTTAGATGAAGGGTAGGTTGAAAAAGAATAACTTTAGATTTTGCCATTTGCGTTTGATAAAGGTTTCTGTGATTTTAAAGCAATACATTTTGACTTTCACTCATCTATTTGTCAGCTAGCTCGCCAGCTAGTTACATGAGGAGACTTCGTGAATTCATGGTAAGTGGGCTTTAATAAAAAAAAGTAAAAGTTTGTTAACTTTATTTCCTCACATAAGTATCATCAAGTTCAAGACACTTTTGTAAGCAATGCTACCAGCTATTTAGACTATCCCTAAAGAATTGGGGGTTCTGGACATTTAACCATGTCAATGCAGTCCACTTTATGTTATTAACTGAGGGGAAATGGATCCCTATTACAGACCTTTTTATAAGATTAGGATACAGAAAAACATATTGGAAACTACCAAATCAGGACTATAAAGCAGTACTTCCGTGATTTCCCCTCAGGATTCACAAAATTGCTCGTTTAAAGAAAGGACAGAGCTGGAACATGGTTGTGCCAGAGAAGGGTCTCTGTGGATGCGTTCCTGTGTGTTTCTCTGCCAAAACTTTGGCTAGCTTTCTCAAAACACACTCTTCATAAGCAAATGTTATCATGCTTTCACAGCAAAAGGTCAGCAAGCAAAATGCTTCGAGCTTCCCCCCAAACTGTTGCCCCCAAACCCTCTCCTCTGGACTGATTCATGTTTGCATTGAGTTTCTACTTCTTGAACCAAGAATCTTGATGGGCATTTTTCGATGATGGTTTGTCTTCCGGTCATAGTTGCATAGGTATGCTTTATCTCCTGTGATAGCTCTTCCAAGACATGCTTTTGGATCTTGGTTCTACATGTTTACTATTTCCATCCAAAGCTCTGCTCTTGATGACAGCTCGTGTGGGCACACCGTTTTGGTATCCATCAAACCTAAAGTTTACTCAACTGTATCTTGAGCAACATAAAGTAGGTTATAATAAATTATTTATTTACCTCAATTTGAATTGCGTAATCTGAACCAGCTGAGATATTTATGGTGGTGGCTATTTGTCCTGCTGTTAATTGTAAGTCCTTTTAAATCGGGGCATGATAAGAATGAATTACTTTGATCCTCCCAAACTGATATGGATGGTGTGCAGTTTCATACTCCATCTTCCACATCTGGTCCCTTCACAAACTTTTCATAAAGCATCGATGATTTCATCCTTTTTCCAATGTTGCCCTTGTTTCACTTGTAGCAGAATTCATGTTGCTTTGGTATGGGGTTGTTTCAAATTGATGTCTTATCCTTCCTAGCGGCTCAACCTAGATCTTGTTCAGACATGTTATAACAAGTTAGTAAAAGTTTATTTTGGTGCAAAAATACTTTGAAATCCATGCATAGTCTTTTCCAAAATACCCATTTTCCACCAATCTTTGGAAGAATGCATACAAAGGGGTGTGTGTTATTATTTCTTGTCATATCTTCCATTTGTAGACACATAACTTCTGAAGACATTGTTTCCATATCTCCATATATTTCCAAAGACACTGTTTGCATATCTCTAACCTATACCAAAGAATTCCCTGATCTTCCATTTACACCATGGCACAATGGCAGTTTCGACTTCCTCTTGGAACTCTCTGTGCTTATTTTAAATGTTACTTGAGTTTAGAGAACTAAACGGAGTCTGAAGAGCCAGAGCAGAACTACAGCCTAAGTGGAGTATGGTTCCCCAATGATATTTTTGTAGGACAACTCTTGCTACAACAAAATAATTACCAGGTGCACTATCCTTCATAATAAGCCTACATGATCATTCTGTGTCCTTACAGAATAATCGATCGTGATTACCCCTTTAGAGTCTCCAAGTCCCTCACCATAACCCCTCTGCCTTGATTTTAACTGACCCTGCAGATCTCCTTGAGAGGCAATGTTTTGATTGAACATGTTTTTATGCAGGCAGCTAATGAGAATAAGACAATTTTATTTTGAGAGAATTTGCTTGCAATCATTGAGTGATCAAGAGATACCTGTAAACAGGTTTCATTGGGAATAGACCCATGCATGCATAAACTAACACACTAGCAACAATGTCTTTTTTTTCCACCTCCGCCATGATTTTCTCCACACTCTATATGAATTTTCTCCACTGCATCTACCATCATTATAGTTTAAGGTCTACTTTGTTTTGCCCTAGTTAATACCACCTATAAGAGAACAAGGAGTTCTTTTTCCCTCTTTATTTACCACCTTTCCTTCAACAGCTAAAGCAGTATCTGACATATAAGTCTTGTTGAATGATAATAAATAGATGTAAATATTTAAGTGTTCTATATGCTCTTAAAACCTTAGCTTATTGTTTTCGCTACATGTGCAGGGCCAGGTTTACTATATAAACAAATCCCAAGACATTTGTATATCTGTAAGAAAAAGTTTTATGTCAAGAAGTAATTATATATCCAGCCCATTCCAACTCTAGTGCATAGTTCCAATACTAATATATACCGTAAGTCCCTCTTCAGACTCAGGTAGTCACATGCAGTGATGCAGAATGCAGGGAGATCACAGACTGGTGGGTACAAAGCCCTGTGGATCCAATGGCCATGGCTCTGGCAGCAATCAGGGTCAGCCAGCAGGAAGGTGAAGGCAGAGAGAAAGGGGGAGGTCCCCAGGGAGTCTCTTATGAGAAGGCCACACCCACAAAGCTTCACCATCAGACTGTGACCTGATAGGCTAACCCTTCACCCCTACACCTTTATATTGCTTCAAGTTGACATGAAACCTATGTAACTACCACACTGCAAAATACTAGAGAACTTCAAAAATTTATGAAAAAATTCGTAGTATCTTAAATTTTATTTTTTTCCAATGGACTTTTTGAAACAACCTTGTATTGAGTATTTTATGTACAATATGGGAGAAAAGTGAGGCTCTCTGCTCCATAAATATTTTCAACCTCAGAAATCCACAAGGACAGTTCTCTGTGCTATAGGGTCACCATGAGTTAGAATGTGTAATATACTATATTATGTATGGATCAGTCAAATTTTATTGAAAGCCACATTCTGTGGCTTATGACCACCACCTTTCTTCCTCTCAAATGTGTGGGCTGGTGTAGAACAATGACCATAAAAAATAAGCATGCCCTGTGTCTGGCTTTGTTTATTTTTATGTAACTCCAAGCTATACAAGGAGCTCTTAAAAAGTTCTTGGACAATGGAATTAAAGGATAATGAGTTTGTTTGTTTTTTCAACATTTTGAAGTTTCCTATACAGCCATTTGATATGTCCTATCTCTTTGGAACTAACATTGAAAGATTCAGTTTTCCACTTGGGACATTCTGTCGTTGTCCAAAGGAGAGAAAAGACATCATGCTTAAAGTGTCTATTGGGATATGGGATACATCATATCTGTTCATATTCCATTGGTCAGAGCAAATCATGATGTCAAGTCTAACAATGAAATAGGCAAGTTCTCCACACACCGGAAGCGTTGTAAAGTTGTTAATGCATAATGGAATAAAACGTTGTCCGCCCTGGCACCATCTCCATGTTGAGTTTCAGATAAGAGCAGGAAATTGATAGGATGTAACTGGATCCCTTCCAGCAGTGGATTTCCAGGCCTTTCCTCCTACTCCATCTTAGTATGTTTCCTTCTAGTCAATTAGAGGAAAGCTGTTGAAATTTACTCAATGTCATGGCAACACCCAAACCTTCATTGAGGGGCAGATGGTGGCTACACATGTGCTGTATTGGTAAGGAATTGAGCCTATGATTCCAATGTTAAAGATGTGAATTCTACCACATTATAACCCTGCAGGACAAGGGTCATACACACAGGCATACATGCATGTAGGATACAAAAGGGTTTTTCCCCAGGTTGTTTCTCCCAAATATATGCCAAACCTAAGAAGCTGCTTGCTATACATGGTAAATGACTGTACACTGAGAGATCCATGTAAGCTGCTTAG